GGCGTGGGCGACGATGACCTGACAGTCAATGGTCAGATCGTTGACCCCGTGGGGCTGGCGGTGCCCCTGTCCGGGGCGGCTGGACTGGCTGCCGTTCCTTCTCTCAGCGAGTGGGGCCTGCTGTTGTTGAGCGGCTTGGTGCTGCTGGCCTTTGCGGCCCGCAGGCGTCGCTTGGCCTGACAAGGTCTGCCAGTGCCCGTAAGGGCGGAAACCTCGCAGGGGCGTGGCGCATGGGGTTGGCAGTCTGAATGAATGTTACAAATTGTTGTTACATTCAGGCGCCGTGATGAGGGGCAGCCCTGGAAATCTGATTTCTTGCTGTCCTGCGGACACTGCCCGTTTTTCCCCCGAACCTTTGATACCCCGCGCCTGGTCCTCGTCGCTGAAAGCCTGCTTGGCGCACTGTTGGCGCTCGCTTTGGCTGCTTAGATTGGCCTGCGGGGTTGGCCGCGCGCGTTGGCTTTTGCTACTCGTGAGCTTGGGCTTCATGGCAGCCGCCCAGGCAGCTCCGCTGGTGGTGGATCGCTCGGTGCTGGTAGACCCGCAAGGGCGCTGGACCATCGACGAGGTCGTGAACCGAGACTTCCAACCCGCCCCGCCCATCCTGGCCCGAGGTTACAGCTCCTCCGTGGTTTGGCTGCGCGTGGCGGTGGCCCCCAACGACCTCAGCAGCTTGGTCGCCATGGTGCGCCCGGTTTATCTCGATGATGTGCAGGTGTATGAGGAACTGGACACCGCGGCCCCAGGACAAGCGCCTTCATGGAAGCGTCAGGTCGCAGGAGACCGGGTTGCCTTTCGGGACCGCCCACGGCAGGAACTGGCGTACACCTTCAACCTGCAGCCCACGCCTGGGCAGGTCAAGGTGTTTTATGTGCGGCTGCAGACCACATCGACGCAGGCTTTGAATGTGACCGTGCGTTCGCTGGAAGAGACGCTGGACCAGAACAGCTTGCAGTTCATGCTGGCAGGCTTTTACGCCAGCATCGTTGCGGTGCTGGTCATTTTGTCGGTTTTCCGTTTCTGGATCACATCGCAGCGCCTGTGGGCCCTGAATTGCGTGATGCAGTTCGTCAGCCTGTTGCTGAGTTTTGCCTTTCTGGGCCTGTGGGCCAAATACATGACCCCGGATAACGGCCCGCTTACCGACTTCATCACCTGCGTGCTGATCTGCCTGCACTTCCACGTGGTCAATGTGTATTACGGCTTCTTCAGCCGTTCTTTCCAGGGGCCAAGATGGGTGTTCTGGCTGCGCATGGCATGTGTGCCGGTCCTGGGCTGGCAACTGTGGGCTGTGGGCCACGGGCAAGCCTTGGCGGCGATGCAGATCAACACGCAGTTGGTGCTGTTCACCACCTTGTTGGGGCAAGTGGATTTCTGGTTCTTCAAAATCGAAGACCGGCCATTGCGCCTCATGGTGCGCGGCATGTACACCGTGCAGTTCCTGTACCTTCTCTACATGATGCTGCCCTTGATGGGGGTGGGGCAGATGAGCGAACTGCACATGATGTCGGCCCTGCTGGTCAACTTGTTTGGCGCGGTGATGCAGCACTTGGTGCTGAGCACGCGTGATGCTCTGGTTTACCGCAACCAGAAACAGTTTGAAGCCCGCATGCGCGAAACCCAGCAGCAACTGGAGTGGGAACTCAAGCGGCGTTTGGAGACTTCGGGCTTCCTGAGCATGCTGCTGCATGAGCTGAAGAATCCACTGGCCAGCATCCGATTGGCCGCGCTCAATTTGCGCCAGGACCGGGGCGGTCTTGGCGAACCCCAGCTCAACCGGCTCGGGCGCATCCAGCAAGCGGTGGAGGGAATGGACGCTGTATTGGAGCGCTGTCGGCAGGTGGATCGACTGGAGCAGGGCGGCATTCGCTTGGAATTCGAACCCACCGACGTGGTGGCCCTGTGGACTGACTGCCGAGCAAGTGCCTCCCCCACAGAGCGAATCCAGGGAGAGGGGCCTGACACCTGGGTACTCCCCCTCGAACCCATGATGTTCAGGACCATGCTCAGCAACTTGCTGGACAACGCGCTGGCCTATTCCGTCTCCGGTTCGGAGATCCACTACCGAATGGGGCCAGATCCAGCCAACCCATCGTTCGGTCAGTTCCAGCTGCGCAACCGCCCCGGTAAACCCGGTTTTCCGGACGAGCAGAAGTTATTTCGGAAGTACTACAGAGCGGAGGCTGCACACCAGCGCACTGGTTCTGGACTGGGGCTTTACCTGGTCAAGCAACTGGCCATCTTGTGCGGTGGGGATCTACGCTACCACCGCGACGGCGATTGGGTGGTGTTCGAATTGACATGGCCGCTGCATCGCACTTCTGAATCAACGGAGCATCTTCCTCATGGCGGCTGATTTGAGCATTCTGGTGGTTGAAGACCATGTGTTGCTACGCATGGAGCTCCTTGATTTCCTGACCCGCCCAGGCTGGTGGGTTCGCGGAGTCGAGGACGGCTTGGCTCTTGATGAAGCGCTGCGTGAGGGCACTCCTGATATTGCAGTGGTGGACCTGAACCTGCCTGGCGAAGATGGCCTGAGCATTTGTCGGCGCCTGCGGGCAGCGTTGCCGGATGTAGGTATCGTCATGCTCACTGCGCGGCTCATGTCAAGCGATCGCGCCACGGGCTATGTGCATGGCGCGGATGTATACCTCACCAAGCCCACCAATGTGCACGAGCTGGAGGCCGTCATCCAGAACCTGGCCCGCCGTGTGCGGCGATTGCCGATAGCTGCGTGGAGCCTGGACATGCGAGCGCACACACTGGGGCTTGCTGAGGGGCCGCTGCTGCACCTGACTCCGACCGAGGCCAAGCTGTTGTGCGAGTTATCTTTTGCGCCCGATCAGTGTCTGGACTCAGATGCGCTGGCCAGCCGCCTGGCTGGCATGCAGGGCACGATCAGCCGCGAGAACCTTGCGGTGATGATCAGCCGCCTACGCCGCAAGATCACGCAAGAGCTGCGTGCTGAAGATGTGCTCAAGGCCAGCCGTGGCTACGGCTACCGGCTCAGCCGTTCCGTGGTGGTGATGCAGCACTAAGAGCAGCTAACGAGATTCAGCGAAGCGACCCTGGCGAAGCGTCGCGCCGCATGCAGTACAAGCAGCAGAAGGCTGGGCGACGACGCCAGGCCAACGCTGTTGCCGCACCCACGGGGGACGACTGCATTCCATGTTGCGTGTCTCAGACGTGCCGGAGCGCGTATCTTGTCGAGCCTCAATTCACCAGACAGGGTGCGGTAGCGATCGCATCCAGTCGGT